CTCTGGTTTCCTCATGACTTAATGTGACCAAAAGTATAAATGAATCCGTTAGAGCCCGTCCAGCTGAATGTCGCTGTGCTTTGACCCGCTGAGGCCGAGTGGCTCGAGGGGACTCTCCCTGAAGAAAGCTGGTCTCTGTCCCAGGACTCCACCAAATCCGACCCCCCCCAGAGAGACACATTAACACCCAACAAGCCCCCCAGCGTCCTGCCAGCCTTCATTCCTCACATTCCTGCTGCAGTGACGCTTCAGGAGACGTCAATCTGTTTTGGGTTTTTTATGAACAAACAGTCAGTTCCTTCCCCCAACAGTAACTTTATTAAATGAAGTCATGCAGAGTTCAGTTTTACATCCATCCAGGTGACACAGTAAATCTGTAAGTCAAACAGTAAATGTGTGTTCCGTTCATTCTTCCTATAACCAGCTTGGAGCATCAATATTATGGGATGTATGATAGTTTCAACAGCATATCTGCTCTAGTCTTGCACCAGTGGTAATCGTGTCTAGAAGACGATCCTGGTATCAAATGTGTGTAAAATGATCCTTGTTCTGACCAACCAGCATCACACATGCTGGTATGAGCCTTGAAAGTTTACCCAGAATGCACTTTTTAAAGTTTTCTCTGGTGAATTATCAGAAACCAGAAACACATCCAGGAAACCAATGATTGTTTCTATGACTCTGTGTCATAGACATTAAACTGCTGAAGTTTGACTCTTCAAATATTGATGGTGATGTTTAAAATTGGAAAATGAACAGAAAACAGATTTAGACTGTGACACCTGGATGGATGTAAAACTGATCTGGTTGCAGTTTTTACCAGAACTCAAATGTGATTTTCCTCCTAAAATGTCATGTGTCTATCTGCTGTACTGATGAAGTTCTGAGGCTCAGAAATGATGGAAAAAGTCCATTAAAGTGATAAATGTGGACCCTCCTCTATGGACTTCAAGGGTCTGTAACTCTACTGTTACTGTAGACTCAGGAGGTCAGAATGAAACTTTTCAGATGTTATAGAGAATGATCCAAGTCTGTCTGCAGTCTGTCCAGGTGAGAACATGACTTCCACCAGCATGTGATGCCTAAAAATAAAGCTCCACTAACTGAAAAGACAATTCATGTCTTCCTGTTTAACGTCACATCATCTCGTCGGAGTCAAAAACTCTAATCTTGTCTTGACTCCTTAAAGATCAAACTCTTGGTGCTGGTTGTGAGACGAACCGTTACAGAAGATAACAGCCTTGTTTAAGGAGTGCAAAGTAAATACTGTTTACAGTCAACAGCGAGTCCTGAGGTCCTGAAAGGGAAGTGAGCTGCTGTTTATCAGTGGCTGGAGTCTGAAAAACTCGCCTTTGCCTTTTGCCGCTGCTCTTATTTTAATAATTTTCTTTAATCAAATGGGAAAAAACCCAAAAACCAACAGAGTCTGATTCAAGATTCAAAGTAAAACAAAACCCAGGCATAAATGGCAAATATATGTTGATTTGAAACATGTTATTGTTGATTTTAAACACATTTGTGATACAGAAGTAAAACAAAATTAGGCAGAAAGGTTTCTTCCAAAACAAAACTGAGAATGCAGTTAAGTTGCGGTTCAGAAATATATAGATATTTTACATTTTTATTAGTTGCTCGGTGTGAACACTGTCTGCAGTTCAGACTAAAAGCACAGAATTTTCTATTTCTTACAGAATTTGTTTAGAGCAAGCGGTTTATTTTGGGCGTTTTTTCAATGAGACATGTAGAATAAAGTGATTTTGGTGAAATATCACAATTTTAAGCCTTGTTTTGATCACGTTTTTCCATGAAAGATGAGTTAACTAGTTATAAACCAACAGGCCTGTTCTCTTGTGTTACTGCATGTTCTTTGTGGTGGTGTTGTTTTTTTCAAAAAGGCTGAGACAGCACTGGCTTTGGCTGCTCTCCTTTTTCCATCCAGAAGCACAACTTGGTTTAATTCTGATGGAATAATACCTCACTAAAGGATTTACAGTAGTTTAATATCAGCTCCTGCCAAGGTTGTGAAAACACTGAGGACAGCTCACATCTTGAGGCAACAGAACTCCTCCAGAATCTTCTAAATGAAATCAGCTTTCATGTGTCTGCTGAGAGAATCGATCTTCTGTTGTCTGCTCAGACGTCCTTCCTTTGTTAAAAGATGTTAAAAGTGGACATTGCTGTGTAGAAAGCAGGTTTGAAGAATCGCTTCTTTGTCTGGAGAGATTCGGCCTTTTGAGTCCATATTTGTCCCTCAGCACTCATCATATTGGCACTGCAGCTTCTTTTTTTTGGTTGCTGCAGCTTTTGTAGCGTCTGTGTTTGCTACAGATGAAAGTGAAGTGCTAAAAGCTGTCATTTAGAGGTGTTTGATGTAGAGATAATCAAAAATGGAACATCTATAGTAGAGTTTGTTCCAAAACTGCCAGATAATCTGTTGGATAACATGTTGGACTCTCCAAGAATCTTTCATATCTCAAAGATGTTTTTTTTATTTTTTATTTCTCTTTAAGTATGAATCACTTTTCATAAGACAAGCTATCCTCTATTTGAGGCTTTCATCAAAGTTGTGGCTTCTGCAAAATGTTTTGACTTCAGTTTGATCTCCCCAGCATGACTGACCTCAGCAGTTACAGAGACGTGAAGGTCACATGTTCTTAGAAGGAAAAAAAAAACTTAAAAAAAAAAAAAGTTCAGACAGAGAGTGAAAATTAGAAAAGCAGCTTTTCAAGATGTAGATATCATGGAGTCACACTGAGGCATTTCAGAAGCTGAATTTCTTTGATTATTTATTGAACAAAAAATTGTAAAAACCTAAAATTAACATTAACACGTTACAGCAGCTGGATAGAAATAAACAGGAAGACAAGCAATACAAACGTGATTTCATAATTAATGAAGACGATGCACGACTTTCACATGACGGATAGTTGTACACAAAATCTACATAAAAAGTTCTGAGATAAGTTGTTTTTGCACTTGAATAGTTATAAAGAGAGCAGATAAGAACACATATTAAGCAGACTGATAAAATAAATTAATTAGACAGTACAGAGCAGTGAGACGATGAGCGATCTGTACATCAGTCACTGTACGATAAATGTGACCCAGAGTTTTTTAGTCTTGGAGGCTGTTTTGTCCTCTGACAGATGAGAAGCAGCCGTTTGACAGCTACCTTCGTTAATTTGACTCCAGCCTGGAGTCAGATGAACCTGCACTGTCTGCCACATGTCGCCTCTGAGGAAGTGAAATATAATCTGTGAGGAGGTTTTTTTTAAAACCAGGTTTAAAGTAACTACATGTGAGGTTTAGGTGCAGAAGTATTCGTCTTTCTGCCTCTCAAAGGGAAATACTGGACTTTATTCAGGAGGTTTAAAACAAACAAAGAAAACATTTAAGCCCAATAACAAAAGGAGTTTCAGCTTCTGTATTTTTTGTTTAATTTCTCCCTCGTGTCTTTCTTGCATTTCTTCTTTAACCGTCCTAAAATTTCTGTTATCCTCTAAACTTCAGAACCTGCCAGCACTTTTGAAAGGCCTGTTGTCTTTTTTTAAATTACACAATTTATCATAGCTACAAACTGTGAAAATAGAAAGAAATATTGGATTTTCAGCTTTCCAATGGTCCTTGAACTACTCATCTGTGGAAACTTTGACCAAATCTAACATTAAAATCTAACATTAAAATCCAGGTATTTCATCAGAATTGTTTTATTCTGCCCATCTCATTTAAAAAAAAAACAACAAACATTTCCTCCCACTGGATTCTGTAAAAAATTCCTCTCTCCTTATCACAACAGTGACTCCTCAGTGACTCTTCTGTGACCGTCAGTCACATGATGAAAATTCAGGAAACTTTTTGGCTGAACTGAGCTCAGAAGTTTTTTACAGAATCTGATCAGACAAACTAGTTATTTCTAGCAAATTTTAAAAACCCGTAGAATGAAGGGAATTTGATGAAACATGAAATTTTAGGCGTAAATTTAGTGTTTTTTCCAAACTAAACAACACCTCACCTATGATGCATTCAAAGACTGTTGGAAAGCTGAAAATCTGATGATGCTTGTTTTGTTTTGTTTTGTTTTTACATCTTCTCGCTCTGATACATGGTGAGATTTTGGCTTTTTTTTTTCCTTCTTTCTCTTTCTCTTTTTTCTTTTTCAGACAATGTAGCTGTCACACCCAGATTCCTGTATTGAATGTATTTTCCGTAACCACCAGACTTTCCCTTCAAACTTCACACTCTTCTGGTAACATGAGATAAATTCTGTCAGTCAGGATGAAACTTGATGTAAATTCTGGCAATTTAAAAAAAAAAAAAAAAAAGAACAACTTTGAATGCCACACTGCCGACACTGCTGAACCTTTCCTGTCTCGGTTCATTTTCTTTTTCTTTCATCATCAGTGTGACATGAAGCTATGTGCTGCTGATGGTCGTAATGTTTGCTATGTGTTCCTGGAATTTACAGTTAATCCCTGATAAGCGTGTCAGTGGAGTAAATGAGGCAAATTCATCCTGATGCTTTAATGAGATAATTTTTTTAAAGAATGTGGGGACGTGTTGTGCAATGTGTTTATTATCTCGGGGCTCCTGAACGTCTCATTTCTTTTCATGAAAAGCTGCTGTGAGAGAAAACTACATTTAAAAATAAACATGCAAGAAAGTTGTGGGAGAAAACTGGAAGCTTAATGTCTATGTCTGGGCTCCAAGCAGTCAATAATGATACAAGCCGACCAGACTGAAAGTGGACACGGACCAACTCTACTGTAAACATCACCTCAGGAAGCTGCTCCGGTGGTGGGATGAATGTTTTCCGGTCATTTTAAAATTATTGCCTCTTTGGGGATATGTCACCCGTTAAAGCTGGGAAACTTTTAAAGAAACATGCAGCTTCATCAGCAGTGAAGGTTCCTCGAACACAACTGTTTGATCCTCTTTTTTTCAGCGTGTCAGAGTGGATTTGTGTTGTTTTACATCTCCGTGTTCTCCGTGTTGTGATCCAGGTGTACACCTACAAGCAGAATGCGCTCACCAGGCAGAAGGTGCAGCCGATGCACCACAGCAGCATCGCGGGGGTGGAGGACATGGCGGCGCTCGAGGACCTTCACGACGGCGCCATCATGCACAACCTCTGCCTGAGATACCAGCAGAGACACATCTATGTGAGTTTGCTGACTATAGCACTGATTTAGATCATTTTGAATGTTGCAGT